CTGTGGAGGGCCAAGCCCTCAGCCTGCCCTGACTCTGGGCCTGTCTCCTCCTCCCTTCTTCACAGGACTCCTGGTCCTGCTCCCAGGCCCTCTCTGTCCCTCTTGGTGTCCTGTCCTTGCTCAGGCCACTCTCCTTGTCCCTTTATGGCTTGGTAGTGTCTTTCCTTCCTTTGAAGACTCACTGCAGAGCTGTGAGAATGACCTTGGAAGCCCATCCCTCTGCCTCGTCCTGCCTGAGTTCAGAGCCTCTAGGTCATCAAGCCACGGCCTGGTTCTGTCCTGGTAAAGGCCGGCCGAGCTGTGCCTTCTGCCCCTCTGTTGCCCCAGGAAGTCACCTGCTCACCGGCCCTTTGCAGGCGTGGCTGGGGCTTGGTGATTGGAACGGAGGCTCACATGCATTTTCTTCACCGCACACGCCCTGGCTGCCCCTTTCTGTCCCCCCTTTCCGTGTATTCTTTCCTTCCTTGTATTTTGCAGTGGTTTTATGATGGTTCTACCTCCTGGTAAGACGTTGCAGCTGGCTGGTCTTAATGAGCGCTGTGCAGTCCCGGCCCTCCTGCGGCTTCCTGCCCTAGTTCAAGTTCGTCCCTGTGACTCGGGGAGCAGTGGGAAGCAGGAGATGCAGTCCTCAGCAGCAGCTCCCTGCACTTCTTGCTAAGTGGATCATGACATTTGCAAGCTGGGGAGGGAGAAGGAGGCTGGGTAGGAGTGAGTTCCCTGTTTTCTGCAGTGACCTTCTTGTTCAGGTGCATAAAACAATTTAACCCAATATTTTTTTTTTTGCAATTAGGATCTGGGAGAGGCTCAGGTTGTCTTTGGGAGCACAGGATTTGGTGAGGATGGTGTCCTCTGACCCGCTGGGCTTGCGCAGGCCTCCCTTATCAGACAGGTCTTCTGTGGGGACTGGGCCCCGTGGGAATGGGCCGTCTGTGGAGAATGCTGAGACCCTGCAAGTGGCAGTTGGGGCAGTGTGTGGCTTTTAGCAGTCGTCATTCGCATTAAAATTCCTGAAGGCCTTTTCCCCTAATTTCCCAGACCAACGTGCCATCCAGAGAAGACCCACGGCATGTGCTTGAGGCAGCTTCCAATCCAGAGCTTCTCAGTCCCTTCTCCTCCTGCTCTTCCTCCTAGCAGCCAACCCACAAGAGCTTTTAGATCTCGTGTCTCTTCGGGCGCCCTACTCACGGGGAATGGTAATGGCACAGAGACACTGTATTTCTGCTTGTGTACTGTGGCCCCCGAAGAGCCACAGGCCATTGCAATACAAGAATATTTGCCCCTTAAGAATCCACTTTGCCCATATCGGGGCTGCTACGTTCTCTGTTGAGTGTGCACACTCTGGTCAGAGACCTTTGGCCATCCAACCCCAGCTGTGCCTAATGGAGGTGACTTGGGGTGAGCAGAGGGCTGGTGTCCATATGTGACTGTGCCTGTCTGAGGCTTGGAGTCACCTGGATCACCTGGAAGATGTCGAATGCCTAGAAAGTGGCCCAATCCTTCCCTATCTTCCCTTTTTAAAGTACGGATGACTCTTTGGACAAACGTCCTGTTCTGCATTCAAGGTAATCTTCATTTCCTCCTTAAGGAGGGCGGTTATTAGATTCAGAGGCACAGCGATTTGCAGCCGTGGGTAGGACGGCCTGTTGCTAACCAGAACAGGCGGCCAGGACACATGGTGCCCTCTCTGCCTCTGCAGGTGGCCAGTGGGGCTCCGTTTAGTGAGGATTTGCTCATCTGAATGGCAAGACGACCGCTCTTGGCTGCTTGACTTCGCTCTGATGCTTACCAGGGAGGGTGAAATTCTGGATCCCTGCCTCCTGCTGAGTGTGAGGGAGAAATTGATTTCCTCACAGTAGTTCATCGACTGTCCCGCCCCATTTGGTGGCTTAATCTTTCCTTACCCACTCACTTGCCACGCCTCCCTGATTCACTCCAAAGTTGTATCCGCACTGGGATCTGTTTCTGGACTATTTGTTCTGAATTATTGACATCTCGGTGATGACATCTGCCTGGTTTTGGAGATAGGGTTTGAATGACTGTCCTCGGAGGCAGACGCACTCTGAGAGCGGATTGACTGATGGGCCTGCATTGTGGCAGACTCCTGTGTGCAGACACCCGGGCTGTCTCTGCTGGCCAAGAAAATGTTGTGATGGGCTCCTGGAGGAGGTGCCCTCTCTAGCAGTTCCAAGGGTGCAGAATGCCACCCTGACGATTTACCAAGGCACCAACAGTGCCCTGAAAGCTCAGTTTTGTCTGTGAAGTCAATTAATTCCACCTTTTGGGTAGTACCAGACATACCATGAAGGATCCAAGAAATGCTGAATTGCAAAGGGAAACCCAGCAAGAGACAGCACATCCTCTCTGCATTGCACAAGTACATCCCGAGTGCTGGGTACAGTGTGGACTATACAGAGACACTGCAGACCCGGTCCCTGACCTTGCAGAACTCCCAGTCCAGGTGGGAGACAGGTGTGCAGGTCAGGGGATGGGATGTAAGGTGCATGTAGTTAGGAGGTGCAGAAGAATGTTTGACCAACTCTGCCAAAAGACCAGGAAAGGTCAGAAATAAAAAAAAGGAGAACACAACGTGTCATCTCTGTCCTCGAGCACAGATGGTGCTCCCCAGACGGGGGAGGGCACCCAGGGGGAAAGAAAGGGTGCCGAAGAGGGAGGGAGGCGGGAACATGGTGGGGCCTCCGGGTATTGGCAAACATGCTCTTATGGCTTGGATGTGAGGTGTACCCAGGAGCTCCTGTATTAATTCAGGACTTGGAAATGACTGGATTATGAGGGCTGTGTGGATCCATCCTAGTTTGAATGGACTTACAGTGTGGTAACTGTAGGCAGGTGGGGTGAGGCCAGAGGAGAGAGGGTCACTGGGTGGGTCCTGGAAGGTGTGTCTTCCCAGTGTCCCTTTCTCCCCGCCCCCCTCTGCTTTCTGATCCCACCATGAACTGAGCAGCTGTCCTCTGCTGGGCCCTTCTGCCATGATATTCTACCTTACCTTGGGCAATGGAGTCGGCCTGAGACCTCTGAAACTGTGGAGCCCCAAATATACTTTCTCTCCTCTAAGTTGTTCTTGTTGGGAATTTTAGTCACAGTGACACTAAAACTAAGTAAAACAGATGCCACTGAAGTTTATAGAGCATGATTGGATTTGCTTTGTGGGGAGGTGATCTCAGCACTGTATGGAAGAGAGCTTGAGGTGAGAGTGTGTGGAGAAGGCCATTCCACTGGTCATGTGACATTCATAACTCGCGGTATTGACCCTTAGACTTGTTGTCTCTCCATGGTTGTCAGAAAGGGAACCAGCCATTGGAATATGAGGCAGATGGGGCAGCCACAGGTAGTCAAGAGGTGAGACTTGGTGGTTAAACTTATGTTGGGTGACAAGGTGAAGATGACACTTCTATCAGGTACAGCTGTGGAACTTGAGGTCCAGGGAGGAGCATGTGTGAGGTGTGGCCATGTTAACTAGGAGGTACTGGTTCTGGGTGGGCTTTTTGGTGGAAATACAGTTGTGCATTGGTTAATGCCAGGAATACACTCTGAGATAGATATCAGTACCCTGTAGAGTGTACTTATGCAAACCTAGAAGGTATAGCTGAGAGCCTGACATGGTGGCCTTGTGCATCTGGACCCGATTAAACTCTCACTCTTAATACGACAGAACAGTTTCATTGACAAATTTGTCACTAATGCTTCTCAATTTGCTTATTTCTATCTTGTTAGTCGGCTTCACATGGCCGTGATCAAAAGACCTGACAAGACCAACTCAGAGGAGGAAACATTTCTTTTGGGCTCACAGTTTCAAAGGTTTGGTCCATGGTCCTCCAACTCCATTGCTTTGGGCCTTAGGTGGGCAGAACATCATGGTGGAGGGGTGAGGTGGGCCTTAGGTGGGCAGAACATCATGGTGGAGGGGTGAGGTGGGCCTTAGGTGGGCAGAACATCATGGTGTAGGGGTGAGGTGGGCCTTAGGTGGGCAGAACATCATGGTGGAGGGGTGAGGTGGAGGAAAGCAGCTCAGCTCATGGCAGCTGGGAAGCAGAGTGACAGAGAGGAGCCAGGGATGAGATGCTGTCTCTGAGGACACTGCCCCAGAGACTCACCTGCTCCAGCCACGCCCCACCCACCTACAGGTTCCACCTGGTTGTCTGCACCAGTTGTTAACCCATCAAGTGTCAGTCTATCCACCAGCGAGGCTACAGCTCTCATAATCCCATCCTCTCACCTTGGAACATTCCTGCATTGCCTAACGCAGTGCTTTGGCAGGACACGAAAGAGCCAAACAACAACTATCAGCTACTGTACAATAGGCTATAGGGTGTGTGTGTGTGTGTGTGTATGTGTATGCGTGGGCATGTGTGAATTACAGCCTGCTGCTTCTAAGGCCACGACACAAAAAAACAACTTGAAATTAATCCAATCACGAGAGAAAAACGATGCAAGCAGGAGGTGTGAACACGAGGTGTGAGGCTGCTTCTGCACAAGCGGCCCCCTGCTCTTCACTTTCAAGTAATGGAAAGGGGTGGGCAGCCCACACGCACCAGAGCACTCACCTGTTACCGCTGTCAAGCAGTCTGTACTGGACATGGGCATGACCGGCAGTGCAGTGCACGGTGTGTCCGCACCAGCGTCTGCACAGATGTGCTGATGGTGCATTGGGCTGGGACACTGCAAGGATGGCTGTGTCACCAGGCGATAGGAACTTTTCACTTCCTTGATAATCCCTTGTGTGTGCCTCGCTGACCAACGCAATGTTCGGGGGCATGTGGCTGTACTAGGGTTAGGAATGTGGGTAGTAGATATGCCAGCAATGCTGGTTTCTCCTGGTACTGGGGTGTTGTAAGGACGTTGGACAGTTTCCAGCAGTGCCCCCAGCTCTTGTTCACTTCCTGAGGTCAGGCCAAAGTGAAGAGGGTGGAGGTGTTTACTGCTGGGTGCGGGAGGTCAAGTTCAGCCACTTTTCCACTTACAGCCATGTCTCTTTCTTTCAGGAGATGGCCAGGTGGATTTTGATGAATTCATGACAATTCTTGGGCCCAAACTGGTGTCTTCAGAAGGTCGTGATGGTTTTCTTGGAAACACAATAGATAGCATATTCTGGCAGGTAAGAACATTTTTTTAAAGGTTAAATTTGACAGGAATGTGTGTCTGGAACTGACTTAGTCTGAGTTCTTGAGCTTCTGTGCAGCACACGAGCTCTCTTCTGAGAATGGGCAACGTGCCTCAGTTAAGGTCCATGCTGCGTCCTCTGATCGAGGAATGGGAACTCCACTCATTTGAGGTTCAGAGGGGTAGGACATCTCCCCTCTTGATAGCAAGACTTTTGCCTTGGGGAGAAAGGAGATTCCTCCACTTCTGATTCTTTTTCCTGGAGACATTTAAAAAGATACCTTGATCTCTGACCCAGTTCTGTCCTTGACCCTGGTTCCAGGAGGTCCTTGCTGAGGGTCTGGCGTGGTGGCCTTGTGCATCTGGACCCTATCACACTCTCACTCTTAATATGACAGAACAGTTTCATTGACAATTTTGTCTCTGATGCTTCTCAATTTGCTTATTTCTATCTTGTAAAATCGCTTAGGAGACTCCTCATATCTACATTCTAATTAGAGTTCTACGAAATGATTTTCACATTAGTTCTCTAATTTTGAAATGTAAATATTATTTTGTGAAATTTGGGAAATGGTTTGTAATCATTATTTTAATAATTTGAGTCAAATAAATTGTCAAGTTAAATTGAATTACTGGTTAGGCACGTAAAACACTGTTCAAACACAGTACGGTTTCTTTAATTTCTTGATATGACTTTTCCTCTGCACCAGGGCTATTTCTGTGACCTAGTAAGGGTTCCAGGTGACAAGTCTCTCTTGTCTTATTCTGTCACTCAACTTGCATTTAACCAACAAGTATTGACTAAGAGCTTGTTGTAAACCCTGAAGGCTCATCAGTCATTGTGAGTTTTACAAAAAGCATTCAAGACCAAGTCCTGGCCATTTAGGAGTTTGGCGGAAGGAATGCAATTCAGAGAGAAAACAAGGGAGTAGTGAATGGGTGTGGTGGTCACCAGACTGTACTGTCCTTGAAGCCAGGACTTCACGTCAGAACCCCTTGGCCTGGCCCATGGCCCACAGGGGCCCTCGGTGGTGGAGTGAACAGAGGCTCCAGAAGGCAGGGAGGCATGGTCTTGGGGGCACAGAGGAGGCTTTGCAAAATGGCGGCACTTGCTTTGTTCCTTGAAGTACCAGGAAGCTCTCAGGAACCCCACTTGCTAGATGGCGAGAAGCATGGATGACGGCAGGTACGGTTGCAGGCCTGCTCCCTGAGTGTCAGAAGGGGGGTACAGTGAGGATGGGGTGATTTAGGCCCTGTGGGCAGAATGGACAGGGGCCTGAGGGGAGCCAAGGGGGGACGCTGCCACAAATCTCCCAACTCACTCTTACAAACAGGGCCACAGACACGCCTTCGCAGAGGAGGATTTTAGATTGGACATGCAGAGTGGGAGGGGTGGACAGCCCTTAGGGTCTGGAGCATCAGGAGGCTGCGCTGGAGACCCAGAGGTGGGATTCCTGAGAGCCACTGGATGAGCTCTCCAAGGGAAGCCATGTGGCAGGGGACAAGCAGAGACAAGGCCAGGTCCCAGGGGAGGTCCTGCGGCAGCAGGGGCACAGCGCTGGTGCACACTGATGTTAGGTTCTCACTGGGGTCAGGAATCTCCCTGGGACCCCACTCCATGTGACAAGAGTATTCCTCTGCTCTCATAGCCCTCCAGTTATGCCGTGACAGTTGGAAGAACAGACAGTACTGGAAGGGAGCACAGAGAGATGATGGAGACCTCGCTCCCCTGGCCGTCTCCCAGCCCAGGCGGGTCCACTCCTCAAGGGCACCTTCCCTTCCTGACGTCCCTCTCTGTTCGCCCCCAGTGCTTCCTACCGTGGCCACCCCCAGGGCCACTCTGATCTACAAGAATGCTCCAAGGCCCTGAGTGCTCGTCCTGGCCGCACACTGAGAGGAAGGAGCCCTAACCTTCTCCCTCACACGGCTCACTTCTTGCTCACTTCTTCCAGGGTCTCCACGGAGTGCCCCCAGGGCAAGCGTCCCTCTCACACTGTGCTGATGGCCTCTGGCATGACTGGGACACATTATCATGCTCACAGACACTCTGTGTATCCATTTTACCAAAGACCCTTGTCCTGGCCCAGGGTGGCAAGATGGGGCATAGGAAAGAGCAGAGGAAGACATTCCACTCTGAACACGACAGTGAGGCCAGAGAGGCTGCACAGAGCTGCTCTCTTCCGCTGTGCTCACAGGCTCAGAGCTTACGGCTCAGCAAGCAGGAGCAGGAGCGGCTCTCAGTCCTCAGTGCTCAGCCTCCCCTGCCTCCCCTGCCGCCTGCCCACACAGAGGCAGGAAGCAGTTTGCAGAACATCCTGAGCCCCCAGTCTTCCTGGGAGAGGTTCACGCCCCTGGGGCTTGGGGGGTTTCCTGGTTTAAACCAAAGCTGTGTGTGTGTGCATGTCTGCACGTGTGTGCACCTGCACGGGTGTGCGTCTGCACATGTGTGTGCGCCTACACGTGTGCGCCTACTTTGCCACAGTGGCTGAAGGTAAGGGGTGCAGGGAGAGGAGCAGATGGTCAGCTTTGTGCCCATGGTGCCCAGGCAGGGATGCTGATCAGGAGGAGCTGGTGCTCTAAAAGGTCCATCCTGCGTAGGAGGCTCCACCAGGCTTCCCGCCAGAGACAGGTTGCCATGGAAACAGATACACGTTGCTTACCTGGAAGGGAATAACTGTGGTTTATGGGTGCGTTAATAATGTATCACACCAAAGTCTAGAGACAGAGACAACCGTAAAGATTTACTGTGCCACGTGGAGTCTGTGGGCCGGGAACTGGAAGGCGCCGTTGCTGGGTGGCTCTGGCTCAGGGGCTCCTCAGAGGGTGCTGTCCAGGTATGGGCTGGTGCTGCAGCCATTGGAAGGTTTGGCTGCTCCTGGAGGATGCACTTGGAGCTGGCTCGCTGGCATGGCTGGCAAAGGGGTGCCAGCTCTTGACAGAGGCTTCCCGTACCCACAGGGGCCCCTCCACAGTGCTGCCTACCCATCCCCCTGACCTGGCAGCTTCCCCTGAAGCAGAAGCTGCAGCAACTTTTATGACCTGACTTTGGAAGTTAACTCTGTCATTTCTGCAGTGTCCTTTGGTACACAGGCCCTGCCTGTCCAGGGTGAAGGGCCTGGAGGCAGGAACATTGGGGCCTTGTGGAGACTCTACCAGAGAGGGCTCAGCTCCCGTAACTGGGCTTCTTCAACCTGGTGTTGCTGCCTTGAACCTTGGTTTGCCCCAGGCTTTGAGGAAGCCTGAGGTCAGGGCTGTTCTCTGGGTCACTGTGGAGTGGCTCTCCCAGGCAGAGGCTCATCTTCCTAATTAAATCTGTTCTGTGCTCTTTCCTTACAGCATTCTAGCTTTCACTGTCAGGGGTAAAATAAAATCAAATGGAATCTGCTAAAACAACTATTTATCGCTTAGCGCTAGTGCCGAAATTATGAGCTCCCGGCTCTCTGCAGGAAATTGGTGTCCGTGAAGGTGGAATTTAACTGGCTACAAATACAGCTGCTTCCCAAGGAAGAGGCCCCCGTGATGTGGCCCTGAGCATCCGGCATGCAGCCCCCTGGGGGAGGCTCACCGAGTTCCCACACCCAGCTCGAGAGCCTCTGTGACTCTGTGCTTGCGCTAGCCTCTCGTCGGGTCTCCATGTCTGCTGGTTCTGCCAGCGGTCCTCTTGGAAGGGAGGTGGGAACTGTTTGAAGTTGGCTGGGTCCTGGTGTGTGGCAATGACGGAGAGGAGGGAAGGAAGAGCTGGGGGCCCACTCGGGTGGGTCTGGCCTTCGGCTTGGTGCTGCAGGTCCACGGTGGTGGCTAAGTGCTGCTCTGCCATCCCTCTGAGCCACACGCCAGAGCCCAGTTAGGTCCCAGAATGAGTCTGAGGGGATGGTGGAGGCCCGAGAGGCCCAGGAGCGAGGCCCCACCGTGTCATACACAGCCTGCGAGGAGCCTTCCTTCTCCCTTGGCCAGGACAGCTGCGCAGCCGGGGCCAGGACAAGCTGAGCAGCCTGGGAGGTGAGGCAGTGCTGCCCACAGGGCCTGGTGCTCCTGGTAAACTCCTCTCCCTCCCAGGGCAGGGGAGTGGGCCTGGGCCGGCCTGTGTGTGTGCCCTGGCTGGGGCTGCCCTGGGGCCCAGGCAGGGGATGCCCTGAGGCCCAGGCAAGGGAGACTCTGTGGGAGTGTGGGCCGGGCTCCCACTCTCAAGGCCCCAGTCAGCCACCTCACCAGCGTTTGCTGGTGTCGGGTTTCTGTTTTGAGAAATGAAACACATGCAGTCTGTCAGCAGACAGAGCTGCCTCTGTACTGCCCAGGGGGTGGGAATGCATGAGGGGGACAGGATGTCCCTGGTGCCTGCTGCTTAGCTGTAGGGGGACAGGATGTCCAGGGTGCCTGATATGCTTAGGCGATGTTCTGCAGAGCTCCCGGGGTCAGGGAGCTGCATGCAAGCCGGTCGTTGCCACAGAGTGATGTGCGCGGTCACCACCCAGCCCTGGTCCAGGTCTAGGCCGTTTGCCCACCACCTTGCTATGGCCCTGGTGGTCCTCCCTCAAGCTCCGCAACCTCCTCTGTGGGAGATGCACAGGTGAGGCAAACACCTGCCCATGCTCCCCCCACTTGGCCTCCTCCCCACCCAAGTCTCGCCCTTGCCTGCCTCCCGCCTCCCTGGCCGTCCTCCTCTGGTTTGGTTCTGACTGAGTCTTCCCCAGCCCAGGGCCATCGTCCACCTGGGGCGCTGGCAAGCTGGCTCTGCTGTTGTGCTGAGGTGGGCAGAGAGCATCGTGGCCTTGTGACTCGGCAGCTCACGGTGCTTTGTGCCCCATGATCGTGACATGGGAGAGGGTACCCACGTCGCGGCAGGCCCAGGGGATCCCAGATCTGTGGTGCCTTTAAAGACTGGGAGGAAAGACAGCGAGATGCGGGGCGACTCCATGGTGGGAAGACGGGCAGAGGATCCCCGTATTTTCTAAATACCAACAGTGGGCATATGTCCCTCCTTGATTGGGAAGAGAA